TCTGTAAACTATGTCATCAAAATTCGTTATGAAACCCAAGGAAAGTGTGATATCTGAATTACCACGAGTATTTTTACCTCCATTTTATAAAATTGGTATTTTGATTAAATGTGCTTCATTCTAATGAGCTTCACAAAGAGAAAGGAACTAAATATGTCAGCTGAATACTTCATCCCGGGGTTAGCAACCACCCCCGCCTAAAAATAAAAGTCTTCCAAAGCTTTTTCATATGGTTAAATTAGATCAATCTGCTGCTTCCCGGTTTTTTAATTGTCACTCATGTGAAAAGGTGTCACTTTTAACGCTGACTTCTTCCTGCCACTTAATGTTACTGACATCATACTATCTTTTGGATTTTTTAGGAAAAGAATGAGATAAAAAGCAGTTTCTGTGGCAGGGGGAATTTTCATTTTCCATATTAATACTACATTATAATCAAATAGTTTCATGAAGTTTTGATCCTAAGGTTGGAAGAACAAAAACACCCTTTAAAAATGCCTCTCCAGAGACACAACCCAGAAAAAGCTCCATCTTCCTATTATGTGACAAGTATTCTGCGATTCTCTCCTTTCCACAAAGTGTCAATCAAGACTAATGACTCTAAATTTATAGAATTAATAAGGAAAATTAAGTTGTATATGTTGTTGGTAAACCCAAACTTACACGGCTCCCAAGCTCCGCTTTGGAGAAGCGTTAAAGCAAGCCCCGGACATTCTGCCTCACGCTAGGTGAGGGCACCACCATGCGAGCCCCTGACCTCCGGGGTGTTACTTCGCCTAAGCCTCTGCGTGCTCAAGGGCACGGTGCAAAGGAGAGAACAGGTGGTCCACTGTGCTACGACCTAAGCAATCTTTCAGCAAAGCTGAATTCCCTGGCCCCATGGGAGAGGCAGTTGGGTAGTGGAGGGCACTGACCTCAGAGTTAGGAGACGTCTCCCTACCTACGTGGCATTACAAAGGATGCTTAATGTTTCTGGGCCTTTCTTTTCCCATCCATAAGAGAAATGGGCGGGCTCCGACCCTGTGGGCACAGGACTCCGAGGCACTACTACGGTTCTGCAAGGGATCCAAGCATGCAGGAACATCATACCCTTTCTCTAAACACACACAAGTGCCGTTTAATAAAGCTCAGAGTCATGCAAAGCGTTACTGGTATCAAGTTGCTTTTGTCATCCATGGATTTTGTTACTCAAAAGATGCTAACAGGGGCACCTGGGTGGCTCAGTCGTTGAGGCCTCAGACTCTTGATTTTGTCTTAGGTCATGATCTCAGGGTCATGAGATCAAGCCCCACATGGGGCTCTGGGCTGGCTATGGAGCCTGTTTTAGGTTCTCTCTCTCTCTCTCAAAAAAAAAAAAAAAAAAATGCTAATGATCTCACTTATGTGTGGAAACTTAAAAAGAAAAAAAGTTCACTGATGCAGCATACAGACTGGCGGTTGCCAGAGGTAGGGGGTAGGAGTGGATGAAATGAGTGAAGGGGGTCAAACTTCCAGGTATAGAATCAGTAAGTCCTGTGGAATGTGACATACAGCATGGTGACTGCAGTGAAGAACACCATATTGCATATTTGAAGGCTGCTAGGAAAGCAGATCTTCAAAGTTCTCACTGCACACACAATGTCGTGTAATGATGTAAGGTGACAGACATTGACTGGACTTCTTATGGCAATCATTCTGCCATGTATACAAATAACAAGTCATTATATTGTACACCTGAAATCTAATATAACGTTACATGTCAATTACACCTCAAAGAAAGATAGGGAGAGTTTAACTAGCATTATATAGGGGTCCTGGAAGTGTTGTTGACATTTGAAAGAGGATCCTCATATATTCAAAAGAACAAAGAAATTGCTGGTCTAGAACTCTGGATGATCCCTAATGCTCCTTTATAGGGATTTAGCACATCATCTATCCTTCCTCAGCAGCGTGGCCGCCGATAATGTTGGTGAGGAAAGAAAGGGTTCAAATTAAGCCTACCCAATCCCAGACATGATCGCTGATTTTTCAAATTAATTTAATCTTAAAATGTAAGTAAAAAAAAAAAACTTGCATTTTGGCCAATTATCACCAAACATTTCTATCACCTCCAAGGAGATCCAAACATGTATTTCTCTGTGGCCCAAAATCCCTTGATAAAACAAGACTGAGTGTACAGTCTGTAGCTAGTCATCATTGTTTAGACTTAAAGCCCACCTTTACATGTACTATGATGGTACTAACACTAAACGCCTTTTAAAAAGCATTTAATACCGTCTACGGCTTTTATGGTACATCAAAGTACAAGTCTACTCTTGCGAAAGAAAATTGTCTACATTCTAGCATAGCCACATGTAGAATGAATAATTGATAAGCAAGGGCAAAGAGCTTTGAAAACCTAGAGGTAGCGTATGGAGAGTACAAAATAATGCACAGACAACCAGTGTCCTGAAACTCAGCAACTACTCAATGAAAAAAAAAAAATCAGTGAAGCTGGACAAATGCCTACATGGGTTTTGGTTTTCTTTTTAATTCCTTTTGGAAAGGAGCTCTGTAAGGTACTGCCTCAAAGTTGGGCAAAGCTACTGGACAGGTTTTGGAGCACAGCGAAGTCAGGGGTTGCCAGCGGGTGGCAAAGCCTTTGGCCTCTAGGTCACTGCCCCGATCTGCCTGGGGCTCAGTGACCGAAGAAGAAGGGATAGGTCCCGTCTGGAGAGCCGCTAAGGAACCAAGGAGGACCCTTCTACGACGGTCCGACCACTGGCATCTTTTTACAAGAAGCCTCCGCTTTTTACAAGACTGACACCTACAAACTCCTGCATTCAGCAGGAAGCCCAAGGCTCCGCCGTGTGGACTGGGTTGTGCTGCATCTCAGGGTAGACCTGAAACACATCGACCTTTTCACTCTTGCTGTTTCTACATGGGACGTTCACCCGTGAAAAATTACCTTCACCACATACCTACGAACAACGGATCCTTTCCCTTCTTCCTTATCATGGAAAGCTGACAGAATCACAATCAGGATGACAAAAAGTTTCTAAAATACGTTAGCATGTTATTCATTTCAGGAGCTCCACTCAGCTACAAGGAATGCTAAGGCTAGATGGTTCTACCTTCTCCTGTCTGGGACCCGGTTCTTCTTTCCCCTGCCCCTGCCGGGGGTGGAGTTAAAAGGACTGACAATTAAATCCCCCTAATCACTGAACTACGTTTTATTCCTGGAAAACCCAGAGTGCTTTGCAGCCCCGCACCCCCACCGTGCCCGCATTCCTCAGTGCCTTCCCCACCTCCAGGAACATTCTTCTTCTTTGGAAAACAGAGCGGTTGCCCTGAAGCAATTTAAGAAGAAACTCAAGGGGCTTATTTAACATGATTAAGGTCCAGGAACATCAGTAAAAATATATAAAATATATAAATTCCACTAAGTGTAGACTTGGAATTCTATAGAAAACCCCAGAGGCCAGCCTACTGTGGAAGAGTCAACAAAGGAGAAGGGTCCTTACATCACTCCTTGACTCGCGTTTCCTAAAGGCCCAATCTTTCCCATTTGGATGGCCTTCATCTGCTGTACTCCCAACAGAGGTGGTCGGTTCATTTGCAGACAGAAACACAGGCCCTCACGTTATGAAAAATCAGCAACCAGCGTACGTAGCCCCACTTGCCTTAGAGCATTGGCTGCATCTCCTCCAGAGAATTAAAGTTAAAGCGAGGCTATGGCTCGTCCCTCCCAATCTCTGAAGTGATTCTTCTTGGGGCTCAGATGTTCAACAAATTATAAAAAGCACCCTTGCCTAATTTAAACATGAAAACCAGAGCTGGCCAGGCCAAAGGTTTTTGGTTCCACACATCTGGCTTGTGGGCTGACTACCGGCCGCCCTGGGAATACAGAGCCCCCCAGAACAGGAAGAAGACACCGAACCATCCATTCTCTGACGTCCACATTGACGTAGGAAAGACGTTAGGGTTCGAAGCCGGCGGCCAAGAAAGAATTCTTGAGATGTCTTTGGTGCAAAGAGGTGGTTTTATTAAAGCCCGGGGACAGAACCCGAGGGCAGAAGGAGCTGTACTGGGGTCAGGAGGAATGGCCCGTTATGTGTTTTCAAGTTGGGAAGGGGTTAGGGATAGCATCGGTCTCTAAGGAATTTTGGAAGCAAGGTTTCCAGGACCTTGAGTGGGGCTAGCTATTGTTGGGAAAAGGTCATTTATTACCATCTAATAAAACCCTAGTCATGAGACCCTTCAGATGTATATCGGAGGGTCATATGCTTGGAGGATGATTGCCAACAGGTATCTTGGGGGGTTTAGAGACAAAGGAAGTTTCCAAAGGAATTTTTATATGCTAAAGTAGACTTACAGGATCCTGGGGGTCGGGCTAGGATTGCCTTTTGCCCGTAGCAAAGTATTAACATGGCGGCAGCCGAGTCCCTGGAGGAAGGTCACTCTGCCTGTTTCAAGGACTTGTCAGTGGGCTGTAAGTAGTGAGGAAATTTAATAATTCTTCTTCTGCCTTTGTTTCCCACATCACAGCCCACAGTCATTTCCTACTTCTCAGAGATGAGCTTGAGATTTCCTCTGCAGGCAGAGGGGCTGAATGAACCCTGCTTCTCATCAGAGCTAAGCCCTGGCCAGTCCTTGGTTAGCTGACTTTGCCTCCAGGTAGCCAAGAAACAACCCGCGGAGCCCCCGTTCACATCCTCCACTACCCCCACCAGGGGCTGTGGCCCTCTGCAGAGAAGTCCACCATCCATGCTCTGGGGTTGTAGAGCCTGGCAGGCCCTCCACAGGCAGCTGACCCCTGGACCTCAGGGCCAGGCTGTGTGACGACTAACATGCTTTCCATTCACGGACTCTCCCGGAAACATTAAGGGTCGGGGACAGGAAACTGAGGCAGTCCAATAGGATTTTTCTTTTGTCCAGCTGTTGATGACTAAAAAGAGATGACACTTTCTGACCAGCTATCTGACTTAAGCACCACCAAGGCTAGGCCCCTAAAGCAGAAGGAAACATAGACCAGGCCCTACCGTAAGGGTATTTGGTATCCAGCTTGCTCTCCGCCGTCCTGCTCCAAGGCAACAGGTCATCACTGCACCCGTTTGGCATCCCGTTATACCCGATGCCGACAATCTTGTTTTCTGCATTCACGATGCACGCTCCGACCTACAGGGAAACGTGCCCAAAGGCTTGGTGACCTGGCAAGGCTGGTCTGCCCCTGGACAGGCAGACATGAAACCAGAAGCTTGCAGAGCTCCAAAGCGAGCGGGGATGTGTGAAGAGCTCTCTATCTCCTCGCTGGCTTTCTGCGGCAGCTCCCACAAGCCAAAGAAAGCAGACCCCCTAGCCCCCGAGGTGGTCCAAGAAGCTTTGAACGGTGGCTGAAAAATGTAAGCACCTAGGGATGCAGCACAAAAGGCAGATTTACTCTGCCTTTAAGTTGCCAAGCATCCGCTTCCTCCTGTAATTTTTCATTTCCAGGTTATCTCTGTATCTGTGAGTGTCCAAACACTCTCTTAGAAAACTCACTTACCTGTGAATTTGGATCTTTGCTTCTCTGTGCTGATAAGAAGGCCACAGCCATGAAATACTCAGGCCATTCCAAATAGTCATCACGTTTATTGCAGGGAACTTCACTCATGCTGGGTCTAGAAGGAAAAGAGTAGTTGAGAAAAGCATTTTGGTACACCTGCTTGCCAGGCCAATGCAACCACATGTCAACTTTGGATCTGCAAAGTCAATTTCCGTTACATTTATCCGTCAGAAATCACAGATCATGGGACCTCAGATCGTGTCTGGCCTTAAGAAAAAAATTATGTTACTATTTCAAAACTTTGGATTTGGCACGTGGAGTTTCGCATTCCCAAATTTTACACCTATGTACTGCTTTCTCATAGGATTTTTTTCAACCTACTACAAATGCTTGCTCCACAAATTGTTCTCATCCCTCACCTCCCTCCCTTAGGAAATAGAGCCAGCACAAGAGAGAGGGAAGGAGAAAGGAGAACATTTATTGATCATCTACCATCTTTCAGACACTGTGAAGGGTTATATGCATCATCTCACTCAAGCCTCATTCCTAGCAAAGATAGTAACATCCCATCTTACAGAAACTCCCCTAAATCACATAGGATTATTATCCATGCCAGTCAGATTCCACTGGAGCTGTCCCAGCTCTGATATTAACCACAGAATCTGTCCCTTTTTTTTCCCCTTAGCTTCCCCAGAGGAAAACAGAAGTTATCAACTCTGAGTACTGAATCAAGTGAGAAGAAACAATCAAAAGTGTCAAGTGCAATGACTGAGGCTAAGTTTTAGTAAGGTGGGCTCTACTCACTCACTCACTGGCACGCACAAGCTGATCTACAACAGGGGGAGCCCCTGAAACTTCCAGTAAAGGGTGGGGTCCTTTCAAGGAAAAATAAACAGCACAAGGGAGTAGGGCAACACAAGAACTGAGTGGGTATCACTGAGCATTCTTGAGCATCTGGGTGGAAGGCGGGTGTTTATTTCCTTGCACTTGGGCTTCAGGCTCCAGCCCCTTGGCTTAAGCGGGACAGCGTGCCCGTGCCTCAAACTGGGATGCAGGGAAAAAGTCGGTACTGGGACCCATGATTATCCACTGACTCTGCGGCCCAAAATCTGAGAAGCTTGTAAGCCCTCTTAACTGCACTGGGTTTACCACCGGCTCAACGGTTAGCATCCATAATCGCTGTAGGGTGCCAGTTACGTGCCCACTAAACAGGAGGTGGGAAGGGAAGAAGAGAAGGAAAGGGAGGTATTACTCCCACGTCTGCTTTAACGCTCAGGGGAGCCCCGAAACCCAGCGGCAGCAACAGGAGGGACGCTATTCCAGGGGGGACACATCTGGTAACCTACCCAGACGGAACCCGCGCTCCTCCGCCCACCAGCCCCTTCCGGCGTGCGACCCCGGCGAAACCCGGCACCCCGAGCCCCCACGTGGGCGCAAGAAGTGCCTGCCACTCCCAGCCTCCCAGTCCCACCCTCCCTCGGCTTCCTGGAGGGAGCAAGTCTCAAGTGATTGGGCCCTCCTAGCCCGCACTCTTTGGCCCGGCAGGAGGTTTCCCGCGGCGGAGGGGGGGGGGGGCGGGGAGGGGGCAACCTCGGGCTTCCCTGCCCGGAGCCCCCGCCGCGAGCCCCGCACCCCGCACCCCCGCGCCCAGCGCTCGGGCAGCGCCGCGTGGCGCGCAGGCCGCGTACCCGCACCGCAGGGCTGGCCCCGGCTGGTCCTCGGCTCCGGGTCCGCGATCGCAGGCCGCCACCGCCCCCGCCGCCGCCCCGCCGCCGCGCGCCCAGGGAAAGGAAGTCGGGAGAAGAGGCGGGGCCGCCGCGGGGCCGGAAGGTGACAGCGGCCGGGCGACCACGCGCTCTGGGGAGCGGGGGCGGGGGAGGGGGCCGGCGGGCGCGCACCGGGCGGGAAACTCCTGGGCGAGGTCGGCCTCGGCTTCCTTGTCCCGGACACACAACTCGCTCGGCCCGCGATCTGGCCGGCGACCTTCAGGACCAGCGCCCAAAAGACTCCTCCTGGGGGGGCTGGCTGCCTCCTTTTGTTGAGGGGGATGGTTTGGGATTTGACTCTGACCCGGCGCCGGCTCCTGGATACCCTTGAAGCCGCCCCCAGGCCCCTGGGCTGGGACCGGCGGAAGCGCCCCGCCGCGGAGGTGGTCCCGCGGCCCTGCGCCCCGAGCTCCCAGGGCTCCCCGAATCTCTGCCCGCGTTCGTGACCCCCAGCCTGGGCCCCACGGGGGACTGCTCGCGGCTGCTCCCGGGGCTCTGACTTGATAATCGTTGCGTTTTTCAGATCTCTGAGTCTGAGGGTTGGGTGGTTTTCGTTGGTGGTGGTGGGTTTGTTTTTACCACCATTCACACCGCCCCCCCCATCTACCATCCACTTAAAGCTCTTGCTGAAAATCTCTATTATTTGTAAATAAAAGACGCCCCGAAGGAGTCTAGTGCCATGAAACTGAAAAGGGTAGGAAGTAAGGAGACCTGGTTTTGGTCTCTGGACTGGGCCTGCGGTGTGACAGTGTCGTGGGGAATGTGGACGCGTGGAGCTTCACAGTTTCCTGCAGGAGGGGTAGGGCGGGACGCCATGCCTCGAGGCACAAATGTCTCGAAGTTACATTTGCATTTGCGCTTTGCATGGCCCGCTTAGTTTCCACTCAAACGATGTGGAAGGGCCCGAGCTGTGCGCTGAAGCCTGCTACCCCTTGCCAACCCCACCGCGGTGTACACACCTCTCGGGCTTCCCCCCATGCACTGGCCGGGTCTAAAATTAAGCACCCTTACAATTGATTTAAAAAAAAAAAAAAGAAAGAAAAGATCAGAGAAAGGGGACACGGGTCAATAGGAAAGGCCATCAGGGAGATTTCTGAACCCATAAGCCCCAAGGAAGTAAATCAGATTTTCTTGAACTTCATTATTCTGTTCAAACGTGTAGCCCCTCATCCTGGCAGAACAGGGGTTCCCGCGCAGAGAATGACAAAATAACCTGTTCTGTGTTACACATAGGGCTTGAGGATACCATCAGCACCCCACAAATGATAGCTACTGTAAGAATCATGAGTTCTGATCGGCACATCCCAGATCTGAGCCACTAATCCAAACAAAAGCTTGTTAACTATATTAATTTGGCCTAATGGGGGAAGAATGATGAGAGTAAACAGTTGGTTCTATCTAATTTCTCACTGCCGCGGACACATCATTCTTCATCTCCACGGTCCAGCCTGTAGATACAATAATTAAATTATATATGGGGTTTCGTGGATGCCGGGAAAGCAAAGAGAAAAATACTTCATCATTAACTATAGTTTCGTTTTTTTTTTTTTTGGCTTTGATAAGAGTCAGGCTTGAAAGAGCTACACAGATTAAGATAATGATTTTTAATGTCAACTTAACTTTACTTTGCTGGCTGGTTGCCACTAAAATGTATTATATACTGAGCTCTTGGTTCCCTTCCCCCTCCCAAATCCACTGCTTGGTCTTTGTCACACTCATCTATAGTCTTTGCGTCTTCATAGATCCATTTCTCTTCTTACCAATCTCCAGCCAATACATCACCAATTGCTGCTGGTCCTTCAACCACAACATCATTAAGCTTTCTTCCTTCCTCTGCTCTGTAAAGACTGTCATACATAATTTAGTTACTTCTCATCATTCTCCATTTTGGTCAGCTCACACGCTCCCCTCTGCAATAAATTCAGGATCCTGCTTGCTGCAAACACATTACTCTGAATGTTCCTGTGTTTCACGGCAAGTCTCTCATCTTACAAGATGACATCATTCATAATACAGGGAACCCTCCTGATTCATAGTCTCAGAACTTGAGGTTTCAATTATTCGGCACCCACAGCCAACCCAGGCAGCCAAAGAGGAAGAAAAATGCATTCCTTGGTTTATCTTGCTCATTAACACCTTGTAACTCCAAGTGTGAGTGTGTTAAATCTCTCTTGCTAATACCTTGTATTTTGGTTTATAATTGACGCTCTTTCTCCAACTACCACAGATGCAGAGGCTCACTAGGTTTTCAGCCAAATCAAGAGCAAGAAGAGGGGGCTTCACCTAAGTGTGAACACAGTCAGACTTTTGTAAGGACCATTGTCCCAGGCTGGGCTTGGCTTCTCTGCTTATGAGACTGTGGGTTATCTATGCCTGATCTGTAGCATAACCTGGGATATATTTCAGGACCTCAAAGGTGGGGGATCCCAATAAAAAAAATCAACGTCAGGGTGAGATTCTTTGGGGGCTCCCTCAAATGGGGTTTTGATAGCATTCATGGATGGCTGCTCTACCAAGAGACCGCTTACCAATTCCCCCACCACCTCTTGCCCAGAAAAGGGTGTGACTTGCAGCCCGGAGACAGGCAAGGAGTCTGGAAAGCAACCAGTGTGTGCATCAGGGGTTGGCATGGGAGAAGGGCACACTTGGACTCGAACCAGAGTTTGAATTCTAGTGCCATTTCTTACTACCCAAAGGACCTTCAGAAGGGACTCACATTCTTGGGGTGTTTGTCTCCTCATCTGCCAAATCAGTAACATTCAATCTTTTTTTGTTAATTCTCTATGTGCTCAGTGCTGCGAATACCAACATTGAACAAGATAAGCCAGCCCTTACCCTCACAGGGCTTACCCGCCTCTCTCAAACAAATGCTGAATAAATGAACCTCATTGCTGGCTCAGTGAACACAATAAATGTTGTGATAAAAGTCTCGTGTTGGAATATGTTGGTTCTTAATCCAGTAGTCATCAGGGTCAAAAATTGCTTTTCACAGCTCCACAACCATACTTAGAAGCAAAGTACCACGGTTTCTATTTTTCAGAGGAATAATTGTTTATATTTCCATGAAGCAGTCCAAACTAGAAAGAACTGTTCAAACCTTAAGTACGGGGATGACTAGAATATCTGCTGACCAGAAAAGAAGTCAATGAAAATTCTAGGAAAGAAATTACATATGTGTTGTTGGATATATATATATATATTTTTATATGTATGTTAGAACATGAGGTCAGTTGTTCACAATGGAAGACATACAGACCAGAGATTGATATATCAGAATATTATTTTTTCTTTTTTTAATTAACATAATGTATTATTTGTTTCAAGGGTACAGGTCTGTGATTCATCAGCCTTACACAATTCACAGCGCTCACCATAGCACATACCCTCCCCAGTGTCCATCACCCAGCCACCCCATCCCTTCCACCCCCCTCCGCTCCAGCAACCCTCAGTTTGTTTCCTGAGATTAAGAGTCTCTTATGGTTTGTCTCCCTCTCTGGTTTTGTCTTGTTTCATTTTTCCCTCCCTTCCCCTACGATCCTCTGTCTTGTTTCTCAAATTCCTCATATCAGTGAGATCACATGATACTTGTCTTTCTCTGATTGACTTATTTTGCTTAGGATAATACCCTCTAGTTCCATCCACATCGTTGCAAATGGCAAGATTTCTTTTTGTTGATGGCTGCATAATATTCCATTGTATATATATATACCACATCTTCTTTATCCATTCATCTGTTGTCAGAATATTAATATCAAAAAAATTCAAGATTCTTGGGGCACCCAGGTGGCTCAGTTGGTTGAGCATCCGACTCTTGGTTTTGTCTCAGGTCATTATCTCAGGGGTCATGGGATCAAGCCGCGCATCAGGCTCCACGCTGAGCACGGGGTCTGTTTGAGATTCTTTCACACTCCCTCTCCCTCCCCTTCTACTCCTCCCCCTGCTCTCTTTCTCTCTCTCAAATAAATAAAATTCTTTTTTAAAAAATTTTTTTAAAATTCAAGATTCCTAAACAAGATTTCTGTTATAAGTTGATGGTCCAATTATCTTTATTGCCACACATCTTCAAATTTATAATGAAGCTCAATGAGGAAATGTTAACTTAGCAGATGTACAGAGCCGGGTGCTTTGCTATTATATGTCAGTAAATGTTAGTTGACCAAATTAAGGAATAGACAATAATTGCTTTACACCAAAAATTTTGGAGCACCCAACACATAAAGAGGAGTCTTCATCAGTAAACTCTAGTTATACCTCTCTATCTGCTTCCTTTTTCTCCTTGCATTTAATGGACCTGGGAAGACATTTGATAACTGACATCTTGGGGCTGGTGGATCAGGAAGCAAGAGCAAGCAGAATTGCTTTCAAGTCATGTAGTATCTCAGTCTTAGGATTTTCATCTTTGCCTGCAAATAACCATCTCTAGAACCTGGGAAGGCTGTCTGCTTTTTTGTGGTTATGTCAGCTCTCCCCACGACTTGCTTCTCCTCTACAGAGCTGAACTTGTAGCCTCTTTCATACATAACTGGTTGAAGTTGATGGAAATTACATGTCTTATCACTTCTTAAAAGAAAAAAAATACATAAAATGTAAATCTAAAAGAAATGGGCAATTTTCTTGTACCATTTTATATTTCTGTGTAAGTTACCAAGTGCCAATCATTCTTACTTTTTAAAATTCAAATTTGTCAAGCAGCATGTAAGCTTTCAATGTTGTACAAGAAAAGATAATGCTTCATGTGGAACAGTCACTTATGCTAGTTCTGCAAAAGTGCCTACCAAAAGAGAATTTATCAGATTGCTGGTTTTATGGAAATATTAACGACCTCATTAAATTGTCCCTCTACTCGGGAGTCACCATGGAATCTACTGAAAGGTAATCAGCAAGGTATTATGGTCCTGGATATAGAATTCTTTATTAACATCAAAGTCACTGCTCAGTTTGTAGTGTATGTTCTAACTAATGTAACAAGCTGAGTGCCCAAGAATCATTGTAAATGAAAGCCGCCATTGAACTGTTTTCGGAAGTTAATGGCTATCATAACCTGCTTGACATGTTGTGTCTTTCGCCAGTTAACCGGAGAGCTCATGAAGGGTAAACTTCTAAAATGAGAAATTAAGAATTAAATTAATATTTCAGTATTGCAGCACCCTGTGTACATGTATACGGAAGGTAACATCTGGGGTCCGGCCATGACAACAATCAATGCCAGGAGGCGAAACATTATCTTCTGCACTCACGAACAAACAAAATAAGGAAGAAAGCCTATCTTATTTGAATAAGTATTGACATTGTTTACAGTAAGAAATTCGAAGCTTTGA